AGGGAGGGGGAGAACAACATCCCCGTGTTTGAGAACAACCCGGTCACTGCTGCCCCTGGAGCTGGGGTGAGTGAGGGGGAGGGGGAAGTTAGGGGTGAAGGGACAGGGGAGGAGGGGAGGGGGGGGATAACGTTCCTGTCTTCCAGGATTGTCAACCATATCGATACTTACGGTAAAAATGTTAATGCGCACATCGATACTTACGGTAAAAATGTTAATGCGCACATCGATACTTACGGTAAAAATGTTAATAGGCACATCGATACTTACGGTAAAAATGTTAATGTCGACAGCCTGTTAACAATACTGCCATACAGATGGCATAAAGGCGTATCAGACATAATAGAGTTTTTGGTACATTTTATTGATACATTTGTTTTAAAAACACAAGTTTTGCTCATATTATCATTTTGTATCAAATGCAGGGGGGGGGGGGTATCTAAGTCGACAGTAGTGGTTGTCAAAGTGGCAACGTTTTGTATAGTCACTGATCTCAGTCCCATGGACGGTGGCAGAACGGGGGATCTGCAGTTTTGCACCAACTTGTTAAGAAACATTCATCAATTTTGACAGGCTGGGAGTCAAGGGTTTTAGTTTATCTTGGGGTTCTTTGTTTCTTTCTTTCAAAATGAAGCAGTGTGTAGTTACTTTGCTTTGCCGTAGGACGCCAGAATAGACTAAACGTACTCACAGATCACAGGGACGATTCAAATGTTGGTGGAAGGGAGATACAATCTATGAGTGTCACTATCAAAAGTATCAGGTTGTTTTAGTGTTTGCTACTGTAGTGTGTGTGTGTGTGTGTGTGTATTATGTGTGTGTGGGGGGGAGGGGCTGAAAGAGGGAACGAAAACTGTGATGAACGATAGTTATAAGAAACAGGGTAGAAGCAGAGAGAGAGAGAGAGGGAGGGGGAGAGAGGGAAAGAGAAAGGGAGGGGGGAGAGAGGGAGACAGAGAGAGAGAGGACAAAGTGAGATAAAGAGAGGCATTATGTGACTGGAGTAGAGGAACGTGGAGGAGGAGAAGGAGGAAAGATGGTAGTACATATTGTGACAAAGCTCTCCTATTCCCCAAGGCAACCTGTATTTTTGTCTATTTCAGAAATAACTTCCTGGCAGACATTATGACCTAGTTCTGGGATGGTAAGTTTCTTCACGTTGTCGTCTGCTTGTTGTTTGTGCTAGAGTACTTAGACAGACAGACAGACAGACAGACAGATAGACAGACAGACAGACAGACAGATAGACAGACAGACAGACAGACAGACAGATAGACAGACAGACAGACAGATAGACAGACAGACAGACAGATAGACAGACAGACAGATAGACAGACAGACAGATAGACAGACAGATAGTGCATACAGCGCAAGCAGCCATTTCTAGGCGCTCAAACACTACCAAACTGACAAGATCTTTCACTGTCCATGGCCGGGTACCCATTCCCACCTGGATGAAGTGAGGAACATTCGTGTGAAGTGCCTTTCCCAAGGACACAACGTCGGGTCCGCGGCTCGAACCCCCGAACCCGCAAATGAGGTCACATAAATGGTAAAGATTAGAGGTATTATCAGATAGTAACATACAAAGAAGACAAAGGAGGAGAGATAGGGGTGTTAGATTTTTGATGGGAAAGAAGGAGCAAACCACAGCAGAACACCCTCCAACCACACATTGCCATCTTGGGCTAAACTCCAATTTCCAACTTTCGGGTGTGTGTGTGGGGTTTTTTTTCCATCGCTGTCAATGTTGTTGGAAAAACAACAACCTTCCCTTTGAGCCCAGATTCTGCCAGTTACCGCCCGTGTCCCGGGCAAAGCTGTTGCCTCTGTGAATAAGCAGCTCGGAACTGTGGATAAACAAGTATTGACATTTACCAGGCTTTTGCTCCTGTAAATAAACAGTTTGTACCTGAAGAGATTTAGCGAATTTTTGACGATTAGCAAGGTGTTCGCTCTACAAATAAACAGTTTGCAGCTAAACCAACTGCGATTAGCAGGCCGTTGTATCTACAGATAAACAGTTTGTAACTCTAGATATTTATTACGTAAATGTTGGAATCTTTGTCTGATTGGCTGCTGTATGTGGTGGCTGGGAGGTGAGAATGTGTGTGTTTGTGCGTGCGTGCGTGTGTGTGTGTGTGTACGTTTGTTTTATTTATTATCATGCATACAACTACGACGACGATGATGATGGTGATTATGATGATGATTAAATTGTATTAAATTTGAAAAATCTACAAGTCTCAACCCTTTTTTTATTCTGTGCTACGAATAATGATGAGGATGATGGTAATGGTCATAGTTGATGATGATGTGAGTCCACATTACCGACGCACCTGTAACACTTTCTCTTCCCCCCCCCCC